TCACTCTATCCTCCATGATTTTCCTTCTGTGTGCATTAGAAGATCTCTTCTTATAAAGAAACTGGTTCAATAAGATTAGGGTCCCACATTATAACCGAATTTTGTACTAATTAATAAATCCTCTATCTGCAAACATAATAACATTGGGTACTACACTTTCAACATGTAAATTTCACAAAGTATTATTCCATCCACAATATTACTATTTACTGAAAAAATAATCTTCTTTGATTAAATGTGATTTTTCTTTCCTTCCTTCCTTCCTTCCTTCCTTCCTTCCTTCCTTCCTTCCTTCCTTCCTTCCTTCCTTTCCTTCTTTCTTTCTTCCTTCCTTCCTTTTTTTCTTCTTTCTTACCTTCCCTCCTTCCTTCCTTCCTATCTTTCTTTCTTTTTTCTTTTTTTTGGTCAGTTGTGGGGCCTGAACTCTGGGTCTGGTCGCTGTCCCTCAGCTCTTCAGCAGAAGGCTAGCCCTCTATCACTTGAGCCACAGCACCACTTCTGGCTTTTTCTGCTTACATGGTACTGAGGAATAGAACCCAGGGCCTCATGCATGCAAGGCAAACACTCTACCACTGAGCCACCTTCCCAGCCCCAATGTTGTGATTTTTCTGTATAAGAAATTGTTCTATTTTTTGGAACTCCTCTGAAATGCTTGTTTTATTTTATTCAACAGCACAACTCTGCATGAACTTTTTCTTTGTCTGGTTGACTAATTATATTAAATCCATTGCTTCAAAGTTTTGTCATAGTTCAGGAGGAGGACTTGCCTAGAAGTGGATCTTCTTCCTTAACCTTCATAACATTCTGTCCTGGTGTGTCTCTTCCAGCTAACAGCTGAATCCGTAAAAGTTTATAGATTAAAAATACCAGCCTCCCTAACTTCTTGCCTGATTACTTTAAGGAGGTCACAATTCCTTGGGAGTGGCCATAGGCTGGTGATGTCATGGATGGTTCTCATGAGGGTGAGCTGTGAAGAAAAGGATTCCATGGGGGCCTCAGGGTAGGAGTGAGGAAGATTCTCTCCAGACTTTACCAATAAAGGAGATGGGCCATGATCTGTAAAAACATTCAGGTAGTTACTGGTATGCCTGGGAGGCAACTTTCTAATGTGTTTCACCGTATTCATGTAATGAGTCACACAGGATGAAGACACCCTTGTTCTTCAACAGTCACCACAGCAGTCTGCTTTGCCATTGTTCTTAACCTGTCGTGTTCAGATTTTAATATCACATAGTACTTAGAAAGCTTTTTTTCTCCAGGGTATTGCAACTACTTGCACATCTTCCTTGTTGACTAGCGCATAGCTGAGCAGATAGATAGACACCTGCCTCTCTTTCTTCTTTTCTGGTTGATTTAGGAGGGCCTCAGGGATGATGTCTTAACCTCTCTGGAACTTCAAGGTTATCACATTCTTAGATGAGGCAGGAGGAGGCGAGGGAGAGGGTGTTCAGGACATGCGTGGTGGATAGAAAGCAATGAACTATCTTTTGTACCTGTACCTTCTCCAGGAGGTAACAGGCAATGGGTGGTACTGCCTGACTGCTGGAGATTCTGAGGATCCAGATAGGTCAATTTTAGGTCAGAAACACTTACCTTTTGTTTCTCAGAGGTCTTTCTTATGCTGTGGTGAGAATGTGTGGAAATGCACATCATAGAAGTCATCTGAATTACCTAATTCAGTATTACCCGAACATTTCCTGTCTTTACCTGACACTGAAAGTAGCACAGCCTGGGACCCACACTGAGCGAGCGATCCCACACGATCGTCAAGCCCCTCAGCACCACACAACCATACATCAATTCCCACTGTTTGACCTGACTCTCCACTTCTGGTTTCTACTTCATGCTGGAGTTCAACTTAATCTGATCAAGTATTTTTCCAATCCAGGACTTGTGTCAGGTCTTCCTGCTGCTAAAAGGAAATAGTTTGAGCGCTAAGACCCTAGGCTTTAGATTCGGATACACAGATAAATTGGAGCTAACACAATTTCCGGCATGTTTTGCAGATTAAATTAGATAATTCTGGGAAGCCATGCATCCACTACAAAATGCCATCCTATTCACTTTAATTGGAAATCTTAGAATGCCAAGGGATAGAACCTCAATTCCCATGATTGTTATTTTCTATGATGTTTCCCATATTTTTTCTTTATTTTCTATAGCACTTATATGGGGTACATGTTTATATGATAGTAGTGAATTATCAAGCAGGATGTTCATGAAATAATTTAAATTAAATTTCATAGTCTTACCCTTTCCAACTTTGACAAGCAAAGCAAATGGTTAAAGCACAGATGTTTCCATTCACAGAACATTCATCAAAACCTGCTATAGTTTCTAAAGATTAAACTGTTCCATGTCTCTTACTGTCCTGTTCTCTTGTGGTCATAATCGTGTTGTGGGCACTTGTGTAGGGAACAGCATATTCTCCAGATGGAGAAGATCTTCAGGAAGTAAAATGAACCAAAGGAAGGATGTGAGCACCAGCCTTGTCCTGTATTCCAGATACAAACATGTCGTTACATATAAGGAAATCACCATCATATATTTGTCCCATATTTTTTCCAAGTATCCCCTTATGAAGACATTTCTCATGCAGATACTTGGATAATGCATCTGCCCCCTAAATGAACTAACCAGGACCATACTTATGGCATCAGAAGAACTAAAGAATAATGTTAGTTGTTGTTTTTGAGTTTTAATATGATTTCATTTCCTCAGAGAGTGCAGCTTTTTTCTTTCATGGGCCATTTGGATATTTATAACATTATTTGTGTGCCAGACAAAATAATCAATACAGGCAGAGAGGCAATGGCAGCAGCCTCTGTGAAGTACACCCATCTATCAGGTTATGTACCAAGTGATCTTGTAAGCACCATACAGCCCTCAAATTAGATGTTCCCTACTCCTGCTAGAGCAGTGCTCACCCATATAGCAGCCTCTATCCACGTGTTGTTCCTGGGATCTTGAGATGTCAATTATCCATATGAACAAATGCTCATCATTTAAAATGTGTGCTAAATTTAAGCACTTAGGGGAAAAAAAGAATGATACTTTTGGGCATTTACCCAAACAATCACAAACAAGGTCTTACCAAAGCTACCAGCACAACCATGTTTATCACAGCCTTATTCACCATAGCTAAGATATGGAAGCAACCCGGATGCCCCTCAGTAGATGAATAGATCAAGAAAATGTAGTCTATATACACACAATGGAATTCTATGCCTTCATCAGAAAGAATGACACTGCTCCATTTGTTAGGAAATGGAAAGACTTGGAAAAAATTATATTAAGTGAAGTAAGCCAGGTCCAAAGAAACATAGGTCCTATAGTTTCCCTTGTTTGCAATGACTAGTACCTGTCTATGACAAGGAGAGAAGGTCAAAGTCTATGCACATATGACCATATGAGATGATGTTATCCAAAATGTACTCCAAGATGGGAATACAAGGGTTTTTTCTTTCTTGCTATTGTTTTTAATGTACTATGTACTACTGTTTTTAATGACTATGTGATTCTTTTGTTTCTTTTGTAAGTTCTTCCCCCATGGTATGACCCCTGTTTTCACTGTATTTGATTCCAGTGTTCTACACCTTGTATATACATTTTTTTCTAATTTGGGGAGGGGAAGGGGCATAATGGAATGCTTAAATGGGGATGCAGGTTGACCCATTGTAACGATGAGATATATAGGACACTATGTTGAAAATGAACTCTACAATGTCAGCGGGGTTGGAGGGACGGAGGAGTTGGAGAGGTGGGGAGGGAAGTGATGGTGGGGGAAAATCAAAGGAGGAGATAACAATGCTCCATAGGAAATGTACTCATTACCCTACTCATGTAACTGTAACCCCTCTGTACAGTATCTTTACAATAATATATGTATAATTTAAAAAGAATGAAAAGCAGCTCATTACTAGTTTTTATACTGACAGCATGTTAGTTTGGCTATACCAAGTAAAATAAAAATATTATTAAAGTTGATTTCACCTACCTGGAAGGTGATCATATATGTCTGTAATCCTAGTAGAGATTGATTACGGAAGGATCATGGTTCAACAACATCCCTGGAAAAATGTTGGCAAGACCTAATCTAAACCAAAACCTTGGCAGGAAGCTCATGACTATCTCTAAGCTACATGGGAAGTTTTAATGAGAAAGATCACAGTTCAAAGCCAACTTGATAATCCCTGGGTTTTATGGCAAGAAATACCGCCATCTCAACGGAAAAAGCTAGTGTGATTATGTGTTCCCAGCTACAATGGGAAGTGTACATAGGAAGATTTCAGACCAGCACAAGCAAAAACTGAGATCTTAACTCAAAAATAACCAGAAAGCACAGTACTGGTGGTATGGTTCATTTGGTAGAGCGTCTGTCTAGCAGTTACAAAGTCCTGAATTCAAACCTTAGCTATTTTACTAAGGTTATTTATTATTTTTTCTAGTAAAATTCTTCATTTAAATTTTATTTGATTATTATTTTTTATTTCAATTGTATTTAAGTTCTTACTTTTAATTATATCAATGTAAACCATTAGTTTTATTAATGTCATTTATTAATATTAACTATATTATAGATTATATTTATTAGAATCTGATGAACTAGGAAGGAAGAAAGTCAATTATACAACATAAAATTAAGTGTGATTTTTACAGAGCTAGGTCAATTTTATCTTTTTATTTATTATTACTTTTGTGCATTGGTACTGTGGCTTGAACTCAGAGGCTGGGTGCTGCCCCTGAGCTTTTGCTCAAGTCTAGCACTACCACTTGACCCATAGCTCCACTTCCAGCTTTTTGGTACTTAATTGAAGAATCTCAAAGACTTTCTTACCCAAGCTGGCTTTGAATTATGATCTTCAGGTCTTAATCTCCTGAGTATTTAATATTACAGTATTTAGCATTACAAGTATGAGCCATGGGAATCCAGCTCAACTTTATCTTTTATAAACAATACTTAACATACTACAAGTAATGGAAAAAACTTCTGTTTCCAGGTTACTGGTTGGTTCACCGTGGACTGGCTTTCCTCAGAACCGAATGGGAGACGTGTACAAATGTCCTGTTGGTCAGTCTACTGCCACATGTGAAAAACTGAACCTGCAAGGTAAGTTTTGCTGTGAGTACCATTGCGTTTGTCATACACTTGTCTGAGAAATAATACCAAACACAACCCTCATTTTCTCTTGAAGAAATACAGATGGAGTAATACAGTTCCCCTGTAGTCCTATGGAGGCAATGGTATCCAAATTTCCAAGGTTTTACCAAGGTGCATGGGATTTATGATGTCCCCAGAACATAGACTGATTTTCATCAAACTTTAACATCATTTTGCTGATTAATTTTCTCCATATCCAGATATATCTCCCCCTTTCATGTTAGATACAGAAATATCAGTTCTAGGGTTGAATTTAGAGGTGCCAATGACTCATATGTTTTGGATGATATCTAAGTGATTACATTATAATAAAAGTTGGAAATTATTTTCTATTTTAGATGTTTAGATCTCAGATGTTTTCTATTCTAATGCTAGAAAGCTCCTGAAGATGAAATCTTAGAAAGATAAATGGGTGATATTTCCACCTAATATTTCCTGATACAAGTAAAAACTTCCTCAACATGATCATCACATCAGCTTTAGAAAAAAAATCAGGGCTGAAGCGTCAGAGGGTTCTCCTGAGGAATTGAGGCATGCAATGGAAAAACAAGGTATTGTCATAATTGAGGGAAAGAAGAAAGATATTGGTGGCTCCTGTAATCCTAACTACCAAGGAGGCTGAGATCTGAGGATAGCAGTTCAAAGCAAGCTCAGGCAAGAAAAGTCCAAGAGACTGTTATGTATAATTAAGCACGCAAAGCCAGAAGTAGAACTGTGGCTCAAGAGTAGAGCAATAGCTCTGAGCAAAAAGAAGTCAGGGATAGCAACCAGGCCTTGAGTTCAGCCCTAGTACCATAAATGGGAAAAAAATCAAGGGAATAAAGAGTTTTAAAATAGTGGCTAAGAAGAGCAAGCAAGGGAAGAAGCATTCCACACAAACTGTATGCTTAATTTGTACCATCATTTCTGCCTCCTTAGAGGGTCTTCACTAAGAATGACAGTATCTAGGTTGAATTGCAGGCTTGAGAAGAAGGGGAGAGTTTGATGTTACCATGGAAAGTGAGGGGAAGGAGTCTAACTAAATGAAGGTGATAGTGATGGGTTGGGCAAGATGAGTCACTGATTTTGAGAAGAATTGCAATGATCAGTAGTTCAAGGATGGATACAGCCATTGAGGCCAAGTTCAGGAGGAGAAGGGAAGCTGTAGAAAGTTCTTTATTGTATGTGGTTTTGAGCCAGAGTCTACCCATTTCATATTACCTATTTACCTATTTACTAGCTTATTTGTTTACTTTTATACCAGTATTGGGGCTTAAACTCAGGACCTTGTGTTCTCTATTGGCAGCTCTACCATTTGAGACATTCTACTTTTGGCTTTTTTTTTTGCTGTTTAACCATATCACAACAAAATATAAAAATAAATTTTACAATAAAGAGCATTAGAGGGGCTGGGAAGGTGGCTCAATGGTAGAGCGCTTGCCTTGTATGCATGAGGCCCTGGGTTTGATTCCTCAGCACCACATAAGCAAAAAGAAAAAAGCCGGAAGTGGCGCTGTGGCTCAAGTGGTAGAGCGCTAGCCTTGAGGTGAAGAGCTGAGGGACAGCACCCAGATCCAGAGTTCAGGCCCCACGACCGGACCCCCCCCCCAAAAAAAGAGTATTAGATAACAGCTAGCAGAACTGAAAAGAGTAGAAATAGCAAACAGAATCTTCACTTGTGTCCTGCTTGGTTAGAATATTGTTGGGAGAAAACCAAATAGGGATATGTCCTGCCCAGACCCTTCTCCTTAATGTCTTGCATTCTGCAGCTATACACTCTGAGCTCAGTTGCTTGTTCACCAAAGATATTCCAGTTCTGACACTACACCATGTAACTCCACCTCTTGGTTGTATGACTGTCATTTAATGAGTGCAAAAACATGTGTGAACCTGATTTCATCTCATCTTCAAATCTCTTTCCTTCTGAAAGCTTCAATAAGCATCCCAAATGTCACTGAGATTAAAAGCAACATGAATCTTGGCTTAACCCTCAAGAGGAACCTGGGAAGCGGAGGGTTTCTTGTGAGTATTTATCTTTCTTATTCTCATTTCTCTCCAGAAAGTTTGTAGTCAGCATCTTCTCTTCACCCTTCCCATCAAACTGAATCTTGAGATTCAAACACTGAGCTTGCTTTTAGATCAATGATGCTTTATTAAGATAGCTATTACAAAATAAATCTGGAGCATTCAGCAAAACCTTTATTACAGTAAGTTTTGAAAAGGAAAGCTAGGTTGAAGAGCAAAAGAATTCTGATTCCATGCTCTTGGAAGTTTCTACTTCCTGAAGAACGTTCAAGCTAGACACTAGTGATTCAGAAACTAGGTCTCAAAGGTAAAAGAATACTTTTGTTTTTAATCTTTAGTTATAATGGCAGACTAATGTGATATTATTGAAGGCACAGTGCCATCTTTTATTTCTACTTTATCTCTAGCTTTTTTTTTTTTGTCAGTCATGGGGCCTGAACTCTAGGCCTGGGCGCAATCCCTCAGCTCTTCAGCTCAAGGCTAGCACTCTACTACTTGAGCCACAGCGGCACTTCTGGCTTGTTTTGCTTATATGGTGCTGAGGAATCAAAACCAGGGAGGCAAGCGCTCTACCACTCAACCACCCTCCCAGCCCTATATATTATATTCAGCTTTTAAAACGATATAAAGAAAAGTTACCACATATCTGCAAAATAGAATCTTTAGCAAGCCATCTGAGGATAATTAATTTGTTAAAACTTGTATATCCAAAATAAACTTTCAAGCAAATTAAGGATCTCATATCACAAGCAAGATGAAAATGGAAATTTTCTAAAGGGAGGAAGAATATCTAAGGTTATAAATGCTAGAAGAAATATAGGAAATTGTTGAGAGATTGGACTTTATAAGAAATGTAAAACCCATACACACCCCTATATATTGAAAGATAAAACTTCAATAGTATTTGAAATTTCTACCAGATCATACAGGAATTGTCTCACAGTACTGTTCTGTTAAAATTGTTTTAGTAAGCCACAATAAACTGTGTTTATTGTGTCTATACCATGATGTGCTAAATTGGAAGTCTGCTTTATAAGCAGATTATTTTTAAAATGTAACCTATTTTGAAGATTGCCATTCTGTTTGTAGTAACAGATATTTATATTTAGGCAGCTTCATTACCAATGAGAAAAATATTTCTTGTAATTTGTGTTCAATCAGCATACAAATAAATACCACAGTAGATCTTTCAGGTTTTGATGATCCTGGAATTGCTATCATGGTTTCTTATTGTTTTTTAAGATTGAATGAGTTAGAAGAGGAACTATATTAAGAGTTGGGGATTATAGAATGTATTTCAAAATTTTTAATATGTAACTCTAGCAAAATAAAAGTGGAAGACAAGTTGAAAGATTAACTTAACAAGCAATGTATCAACATAGTAAAGATTGAAAGAAAGGGGAAAAAAGTTTCTTCACACACTTGAAAGGTCAAAATCATAAGATACTCTAAATGTTATGTGGAAAAGACTGACAATCATCACATTTTTTAACCTTCCTAAGTGTTGGGCTTAAAGCAAGAATGTTCTGGCACCAACAATTGGCATATTCTAATTTCAACTTCTTAATGCTGTTTTCCATTGCTTATGAAATGAAAACTAATACCCTATTCTTGCATACTTCTTCAGCTATTTTTCAAGGTGACAAAATTTTTTAAGAATGCTGATAAAAATTAGTATCTATTATTTTGTAAATTACCAGAAGTGCCAATAATAACTGTCCTCTAATTGGCAAACTAGACCATTTTATAAGAAACTGTATCATGTCCAGTGAGCATGAAATAAGACCACAGCTGCTTCTAGCTGCTAAGCTACTAAAAGTTACACTGGGTCAAATAAATTCCCCTTTGTTTTTTCCAATTGCTTCTCTAAAGTCCATTCTTTTCTTTTCAATTTAACCCATTGATCTCTACATCAGATCACTAGTTTATTAAATGCTTTATATACAATCCATGAGTTAGATGTTAAACACTTTAGACAGTCAGTGTCTTGACAAAATTTCTCTTTCTCAATCTTTCCATCTAGTGATTTTAATATTATTCAATCTAATATTTTCCATATGCTTTAATAATGTTTGAATCAGAGGTTCTTGGCATTCATTTAAGGCCTGCTGAAAGGAAAGAATTAGGATTATATTAGTGGACATAATAATTGGAGGATGGGTAGTGTAGTCAAAGACACAAGTGTCACCAGCTTTGGGGGTTGAATAACTACAAAGTGGAAATAAGGGTTTTAAAGCTTACAAAGTAAGGAAATACTTCATAACTAAGTTAAAAAACTAGTTCATGAACTTTATTTGTGTTTATCTTACATTTTTATTAATTTTTTAATTTTATTTTTGTTGGTCGTGGGGCTTGAACTCAGGGCCTGGGTGCTGTCCCTGAGTTCTTTGTGTTCAAGGCTAGCATTCTACTACTTTGAGCCACAGTTTCACTTGTGGCTTTTGAGTGGCTATCTGGAGATAAGAGTCTTACAGGGACTTTTTTTCCCTGGTTGATTTTGAACTGCTTTCCTTAGATCTCAGCTTCCTAAGTAGCTAAGATTACAGGCATAAACCACTGACACCTGGCTCAACTGTGTTTTAAAGTGTGATTTTTCACACAAAATCTGCTGTCTCTGACTCTCTTGGAAACACTCTGCAAGCTATTTCATAGCAGTGGACAGCAGGGACAGAGTGGCTTGTCCTTGCATGTAAAAATGTGTGATTTATTCACATTGTGTCCATACACAGCCTGAGCCATCTTCCAGGGATCCTGCCTGGCCCTTGGAGGCATTTGGCTTTACAGTTTCTGCTGATTAGAAATGGAAGGGACAGGAGGAAACTTTATCTTCAAACAGTAACAACAGCCATAGACACAGAGCATCTGCCACCTTTTTCTCCATCACTTCTAGCCACAGTACCCTGCAAGTTCTTACCCAAGGGGATTTATAGCTAGTTAGTTTTAAGAGTTGACAGATCCTAGACTCAAGAAAATTGTAGACATGATTTCTTAGTTCTGCCAGTAAAGAGGTGAAAGGTTATATTTCCTGTGCATGTTCACTTATAATGTTTTTATTTCTTTGAAGACATGTGGTCCTCTGTGGGCCCAGCAGTGTGGAAATCAGTATTACACGACTGGTGTTTGCTCCAATGTCAGTCCTGATTTTAAGCTGTTGGCCAGCTTTTCACCTGCAGTTCAGAGTAAGTTGCAAATGTGCTAAAGATTTGAGTTGGTGATTTACCTGTAAAGGAGAGGGTGGATTATTATAAAGTCTCACCCAGCTCTCTGTCAAGTCTTGTTTTTATGTGGCTGTGACGTTTGACCTACCCTGGACCTTTGATTCTTTTTCTTCTCCTGTGTAGCCTGCCCTTCCCTCATAGATGTCGTGGTGGTATGTGATGAATCGAACAGTATCTATCCCTGGGATGCAGTAAAGAATTTTTTGGAAAAATTTGTGCAAGGCCTAGAAATAGGTCCCACAAAGACACAGGTATGGACCTCGGCAGTACATAAACAAATCCATAGCTGTTTATTTTCTGAGAAATTAATGTCAGCCATGAAGTTTTAATTTTTGTATTTGTAAAATCTTCATATTTAAAGCATTTAATGGTAACCCTGAAAGTCAATAGAGACTTGTAACCCTGTTGGTTATTATTCTACCTATGATCTGATCCAAGGCATTCTTACACAGCCATGAGTGCCATAGCATTTTAACCTTCTCTTGGTAGCCTATTTTTGCCCCTCTAACCCATGAGTTCATCAATACATTTTTAAATTGGATCATGTACTTTTCCATTTGAACAAATGTCCAAGAGGGCTTCTACTTCAGAAGAATCTCTTCACTTGATTATTCAAGGCACTGTGGGCAACATGGCAAGATCCTATCTAAAAATTTAAAAATAAAAAGAAAGATGTCATTCTTTGGTATGATGGTTTCTTTCTCTTCTTCCTCCTTCCTTTCTTGTTTCCTTTTGAAATTTATCATTGGATCTTCCATTTACGAATATTTTTTATTGTAGAAGCACACTGAACCAATACCTAGAAGGAGTTCATAAAATACGGCTTCATGTCCTTGGGCTTCATTTAGTACTCCAATATCCCATATTTTGTGAGAATATTTTTTTCTACATACTTTTCTGATTGCCTATACATACTATATATACATGTGCATATATGCATATGTTTTATATACACATATTTATATAAATGTATACATTATAAAATATTGATGTTGCTTTTAAATATCAAAAAGACATAATAAATTATGAAATGCTTGAAGTTTGTATGAACTTTCACCAGAAAATCCAGTTTACTGAGACTTGTATACTATAAAGCCCCTATGAGAGAAATATATATGTATGTACGAATCTATGTATGTACATGTATATGCTTATTTTCTGTAGTTAAGCAGGTTACTCCACCCTATCATAACTGATTCTATTTCACAGTCTCGTACAGAATTCATGGCCTTTCTCTTCTGTCTTCTTTCCACAATGGATCTTAGTTTTTCTCCAGAAGAAGTAGTCTCTTTTCTTACCATCTAAATGTGACCTATCTTTAAGTTTTAGTATCTTTATCCCTTCCATTTTCTGTTAGAAGTTCTGTGGCTGTGTCATGAGGTCACTTTACCACCTTCTTCCGCTAATATTCGGCTGAAACCCACAGTTACTTTTTCTTGGCCCTGCCCTATTTCTCAAGACATGTATCCCATCCTAAAGAAAGAGATGAGAGACACCACATTTCTCTCCATCATTCTAAAGCCTAGAATACTGCCTTCCAGGCAAACAGTACAAGACTGAACTCAGAAATCCAGGCCTTGTATCTTTCTTAAATATGACCTCAGAGATTTCTTGTTGCTATTTCCTGCTTATAAGAGCCCATCTCCTAGGCTTACAGAATGATATCAAAGACTAGAAATGTGACATTCTTAGATTACTTTTGCAAACTTCTCATTCAGAAGTCCTCAGCTCTCTATGAAATTTGCTCGAATGACATTTTCTGGGGAAAAAAATAAAAAGTTCCTAACACCATATTCACATTTACAAAATATGACTGCAGAGATACCCAAGCCAATAATAGAGGAAGTCTAATATAGTAAATAAATCCAAATTGACATTATTCTTAGGAGTACATTGGCTTTTCTTAGATTTAATTCTGATTCCTTTTAACATAGTTATCTTCAATTCATGAGATTTTTGTCCTGTATCTATAATTGCTTGTCATTGTTTGCAAACTTACATCCATTCTGTCTATGTTAATCTGTAGGTTATCAGTCTTGTTTGGATATTTATCCACATTAAATATTATAGGGAAGTTCTTTATAAGTCTCCAATTATTACTATTGACAACCTGTCACACATCATCTTGTCTACGTGGTACTCCTGTTTATATGACTGGTCACTAATGAAGATGTTATTCTACTGAGATGTAATGGCCAAGAACAAAATTGGACATGGCTTCCTAAAGCCAATAGCTCCTGTTTAAATGCACCAGCATTTTTACTACATTGGTGAAATTGACATTACTTACAACGTGATGACAGATCATTAATAAGCATGTGCTTTTTATTTTGAAGGTAGCATTAATTCAGTATGCCAATTCTCCAAGAATTGTATTTAACCTGAACACTTTTAAAACCAAAGAGGAAATGGTTTTAGCTACATCCCAGACAAACCAACAGGGTGGAGACCTCACAAATACTTTCAAAGCAATTCAATTTGCAAGGTAAGTTTTGAGTCAAAATAGTAACAATATAAAAGTGCTGACTACTAAGTAAAAAGAAAGAAAAGACATAGGAAACATAATTTATCTGGAATCTATTCATAAATCTGAATAGACAAATCTCTAAGTATTCTATGCTTTGAATATTTTAAGAAGGCACATACAAAATTAAGTTAAAATCTTTGATTCTGGGACTTTTAAAATAAGATATGACATGTTGCTAGATGACTTCATATGAATTGAATGAAATGAGAAAATCTTAGGTTAAATAAATACCAGGCAATGAGCCATCTAGCATTAATTTTTATCAGAACTACAAACAGATAAAATATTGGAGTATTTCATGTAAATTATCAAGAGTTACAGAATATTGAACACAGGACCCCACAAGCAATGAATATATTTATTGTACTGTTAGAATCTGTGGGATATGTAAAATTTACAAGTTATGTTAGTCCTTACCTCCGCTTTCCTGTTATTCAACCCCTTTGCCTTTTCTCTATTTTATACTTGGAAAAAACATACTAGCCACTCTGTTGTTAGAAAATAAAGGAGAACAATAAACTTGACTTTCCTTCATCTATTGTCCACCATATTATCTTGTGCAGCTTCTTTCCAATGCCAGATGGCATCTCAAGGCACACATGGCCTTGAGATGCCCAGCCCTGTGCTCCTGCCCCTCTCAACTTTCCCACCTCCTCCTTCATACTGCTATTGTGAACCCGTTGTCATGTGACATTGCAAATTGTTAGGGCCACTCCCAATGTTATGTCCCCATCCCTTCTTTTTCTTTCACAGCTTTTCTCTCTTAGAAATCTTGTCCCCCCTTGGCTTCATCATCAGCTCTGTGTAGGGTTTCCATTGTCATGTTGTCAGTGGCCTCTCCCCAAAGTCACAGAGGCTTCTGGATCCTCCCTTTGGAGCATTGTCCCACTAACAACCTCAACATGTCCTGAACTGGCCCTACTCCTTTCCTACCATTCCTTTTTCTACTCCTTTCCCTCATAACTTTGCCATTTTGAGTCATGCCACTTCCTTTCTCCCAGTCCTTCAGACAAACACTTAATGTTTGGGGGGTTTTGTTTGTTAGTTTGTTTTTTTTTGGTTTTATTTTCCTTCCACACCTCCTTAGATTATGATCTTGTCAATCACCACATCCTGCCATTTCTACTTCATACTTCCCATTATATCTGCCCCCTTCTTTCCTGGGCATATATATTTTAGCCATTGTTCCCCTTAGTGGTGATGTTCCTCATGTCTTAAAAGTATGTTCCCTAGAAGAGAAGATACAATCTGATTAAGCTCTCTGATTTCCATTATGGCATCCTTTTGAGTCCAACCATCTCATAAGGAATGGGACAGTTAATAAATCAGTGTGAAATAACTTTCCTGGTCCAGTAACAATCATCTAAGGGGAAGAATTCAATTGAGATACTAATACAGACTAAATAATGAAGAACAGGTTAAATAAATCAGTGTGTTCAAATAATGAAATATTGTGTACTAATAAAAAAGAGAGTTTTATATGTACCGTTATGGGAAGATCATCTACCAAGATGAAATATAAATATTTAAAGTACAGCATTCTTTGTGTAAATGTTTTTAGACTGTGAATATACGCATTTAAAACCAAATAGAATGTTTTCTAGAAGGAAATAAGAAACAAAATAGTGTTAACCCTTTAAAAAAGGAACTTAGTGTCCATTTTTTCCTTGTAAAAAGTTTAATTTTTTGTCTACTTTAATTCTCTGTATGTGTATGCTAGTCCTGAGCTTTGGTGCTTAAGTCTAACACTTTACCACTTGAGCAACAGCTCTACTTTTAATTTTATGGTAGCTAATTATAGATAAGAGTCTCATAGACATTCCTGCCGGGCTGGCTTTGAGCAGTGATCCTTAGATATCAGCCTTCAGAGTAGCTAAGATTACTGGTGTGAACCACTGGTGCCCAGCATCTCCATTACTTTTAAAAACTAATTAAATGGCAAATTCACATAGGTCTAATGAGTAAAATTTGTGACAGGAATGTCTTTTCTCTGTTGGTATATATTAACTTAAATTTTTTACATAAAGATATTTAAGGGCAAATTCACACACACACACACACACACACACACACAACCTACTAAAATTATCGTTAACATCAAGCAAGAAATGAACAAACAGAACATCCTTAATTATAACACAATGATGTATTGTGCTAGAAAAAATGATCTATTTGGAGCTAGATGTCTATAAATGAACTTCATCTTCGTGGGGCTTGAACTCTGGGCCTGGGCGCTGTCCCTGAGCTCTTCAGCCCAAGGCAAGAGCTCTACTACTTGAGCCACAGCGCCACTTCTGGAGGTTAATTGGAAATAAGAGTCTCACAGACTTTTTTGCCCAGGCTGGCTTTGAACAGTGATTCTCGGATCTCAGCTTCCTGAATAGCTAGGATTACAGGCATGAGCCACTAGCACCCATCTGAACTCCATCTTATGAAAATTAATTTTCAAATTTTTATCTGCCTCAGAGATTTTGCTTATTCACCAGCTGCTGGAGGACGACGAGGTGCTACGAAAGTAATGGTTGTTGTTACTGATGGTGAATCCCATGATGGGGCTAAGCTGGAAACAGTGATAGAGCAATGCAACAATGATAATATATTGAGGTTTGGCATTGCAGTAAGTAGCTTTTCTTTCCATTGGTCATTCAGTCGCTGAGCAAATGTTCATTTGTAGCCTCACCTTTTCAGTTTGCACTTTCATACTGGCTGCTCCAAGTTTATTATTGAGAAGTTTTGCTGTTTCTTTGCACTGCTTTTCATTCCTGTCAACTAAACAAATGTTTGTGAAATGCTCCTTGATTTACTTTCCCAAGGGGATCTGTGATATTCAGAAATAAAAGGTGCTAATAGCAAAACTGGAGTTGAGCAGGAATGACTTTTTTTTCCTCTTGTTCCTCTGTTTTCAAGGTTCTTGGTTACTTAAACAGAAATGCCCTAGATACTAAAAATTTAATAAAAGAAATCAAAGCAATTGCTAGTATTCCAACAGAAAGATACTTTTTCAATGTATCTGATGAAGCAGCTCTACTTGAAAAGGCGGGGACATTAGGAGAACAAATTTTCAGCATTGAAGGTAAATTTTTTTTAAAAGCCCCATTCCAGGAATTTTCTTTTAAAAACTGTTCTTGAGAGTTTGTTATTTTATTATTGAATACTTGTCATATGGATCTAAAGTTGTATAGCCTGTATTTTAAAACTCACATGAATCCATTTATTAAAAAACATGAATAAGCAGTTTTTTTAAAACTCAAACACAAGTGGCCAGCAAATGTAAGAAAAATATTTCTAGCTTCAGTAATTATTTAAAACATACGAATTCAACCACTTTTATATTTTGTCTAAAATGCACTTTTACCCAGATCAATAATGTTTAATCTTACAGATGCTGCTGAAAAGCAAAGAAATGCATATATCGTTAAGAACATGGAAAGCTCTTATAACCTTGGAGGAATAATTTAACAATCTCTATTATAATTTTATGTTTTATATTACAATATATAATCTTGGAAGTTTTTTGTTTATAGTAAGCATACATGCTCTTAAATTATAAAAGAATAGTAAAGAGTTTTAACAATTTAGTTTGAGGAAAATAGTATATTTTTAGATTTATAATACCTTATGTATATAGTCTAACAGTATAGAAATATAACATATATAGAAATTCACTATATAGAAGTCTGGAACACCCTTTCAAGTAGTTTAAAAGCTCCACATGACATGGCTCCAGATGGGTACCTCAAATTAAATTCTACATTAAAAAGAATATTTTATTGAGTACCTACTATCAGCTCCTGTCTTAGAAACTGAGTCCAGGGGATTAAAGAAGTTAAATATTCATTGCTTCAGGCTGATCTTGATCTCCTGACTACCTGTTGGAAATCTGTATCCGAAAAATTATATGGCTTCTTAAATATCCTATAATAATACTTCTAAGTTACTTAAATTATCACCAAAATCTAATGTTCCTTGAAATAATACAAAAATATAAAGCCACCTATGCTGATATTCATTAACAGTAGCAGGAATAAAAACAACTCTAGTGTGATCTAAAACTTCACTAGTGATGTTTTGTATACTATATAATATTGAAGACTTTTGAGGAGTACTATTCTATTTACAAAAGTTCCCTCTACTCATCATGTATAAATCATTACATCTTCTAAACAATACTGTCTTGTGGTAGTAAAGAGTTCAGCTTCCTTTCAATGAACCTTAGTGAAATGTTACCACTTGACCCCAATCTTACTGGATGGATAGAAAATGAATTCTAATTGATTCTTATAATGTTAAACAGAGATAAAACTCTTGTGTACAACTACGATAAACTTTTCAATTGGTAAGTCTTGAATCTTGAGTTCTGATGGCTGACCAAATATGTCTGCATTTTCTCCTACAAATTAATTGCCTAATTCTGTCAGCTGCATCTGAGATCTTTAGGCACTAGTTATATGAAGATTTCAAGGCTAAAAATTCAGTTAGTGTGTTAGCTAGTGTTGATACATTAAAAGAAAATCATGATAAAAGACAAATCATAAACTCAGTTTTCACTTTATCTCACACTCTTCCTTTGTTGAAGGTTCTTTGATATCAGGAATGTCATAAGTGTTCTATTAAATATATTAATGATTAAACAAAATTAAAACCAACTTTGAAAACTACCTTAGACACTTAATGATTTCTTTTTGTCAGAATTCTCTAGTCAAAATGTTGTATGTGCAATGTGTGAATGTGGGGGGAGCTATATTTAAAATTACTGACAGTCATAATTCTTTCAAAATGGTCTTTCCCAGGTACTGTTCAAGGAGGAGAAAACTTCCAGTTGGAAATGTCACAAGTAGGATTCAGTGCAGATTACTCTCCACAGAATGTGCGTATGTCACATAAATTCAAATTATACCGCCACTGGCATCACATCAATCCCAGTCAAAGTAGCTCAGACATAAAGTAGGCAAATCAGTCGTCTAGTTACCAACTGCTCTCAGTCCTAGTCACAGCCCTCTGTGCTGCTGATTAATCAAATAAAACTTGAAGGTTAACAACACCTTTCTTTCCCTATTCCAAACAATTTTGTAATGGGAAAAAATAATATATAAGGAAGGTTTTCACTACTCAGGACACAAACACTGTATGTTCATTTCAAGTGTTGCCTTTTAGGGAATTCCCTAATTCAGAAATACTTGTCATTTACACTGAAATGTTTATCGTTGGCAGTTTTGCATTCTGAGTTGCCCTTAATATCTTAGTCTGAGAGCTAAGATCAAAAATGATTTTTTAATGTAGGTATTAGTAAAAAATGTGAGATAGGATTGGAAAATACCACTGTATTCTTAGCTCAGGGAAGTCTGTTTTTGTTTCTTAGAAATATCTGAGTTCAGGCCTCTGATTCTACTTCTTCCAAGGACATTAGTATAGATATAGGGAGAGGGGCAAAAAGATGTGAAGCCTTAGGAACTATTTAGGGAACAATAAAAATTCAGACAATATTATAAACAGATTCAAGGACCAAGCATACCTAATTCTCTATCCAGAATAAAAGTTACTTTTTCTGGATTATCAATTCTGAACAATACTCATAAAAATTATGACTCTTTCCCATAGAAAAATGTAAATAAATCTGTGCAGAGAATTTTGTACATGATTCCACAAGGTAGTTCAGTCCTTGGAGCCCACTTGTACCCCCTTTCCCCCCGCAGTTCAATCTCCGATTTTATTTCACTCATTTGCAGAATCTCATGGTCTCTTATCCTTAAAATGAGACATCATCTCCATGTGTATTATTTTAGTCCCAAACTATGTACATATTTTTTGATAATTAAGATCAAGTATATAAAAATAATATCTGTCATGCTGACCAATCCTGTGTTCTACGTTGGTTGATAATTTTAGATGTTCACACTGGTTTTGAACCAATCCAGAGTAGCTTAACTCCTTCACCTTCTCCCTGCCCTCCAGGGCTGAAGGAAAACAAGCTTTTATTTTCCTTCCGATAGCTTAGCTGTCATAGCTGCAAGTGCCTTTTGTAGCTGTCCAATTAACAACCAAAAACCTGGAAGAAGAGTCCTTGAGTGATGGAATGCTAGCTTTGAGAGAAAAAAAAAAACTCATGTCAGAAGTCAAGTCCTAAATTTAAGCCCTAGGCCGTGATCAACAATACAAAGATGCAACTGGTCAGAAGAAGGAGCCTAAAGATGTGTCTGACAAAACAAAGACTTTGTTCTCCTTTCTGTGGATTCTGTACTTCCAGTGGTTGAAGTTTGTCTAGTATTTATTGTGAGCTTTTCCTATGAATATGTGGGAATAGAAGCCCATACCTGGCTCCTTTGTAGAGGCCCAGAAAAACACAGCATTTGCAAATGTATGGCTTCAAATAGAAATCATTTAAAGGTGGCTATGTAATCTTGCAGCAATTTATCCATACATTATAAGTACTACCCAGGATGGCACAGCTCATGATCAGCTTGTTCTGAAGGACAAATTTATTGTAATGATTTTGAAATATATCAAAATACTTTCACAAATGTTTTTCTGCATTGCGTTTAGACAATGTGTTTCAGTGTTTTGCCTCCCCTACATTCTTATTCATTAAAGTTGTCTTAATTTTTACTGTTCAATTCTTGCAGCACATTCTGATGCTAGGCGCAGTGGGAGCTTTTGATTGGAGCGGAACTGTTGTCCAGAAGACATCTCATGGGCATTTAATCTTTCCTAAAAAAGCATTTGAACAAATTCTGCAAGATAAAAATCACAGTTCATATTTAGGTAAGGCATAGTAGTATTTGGCACAGGAAACTGAAATCATCTACAGGAAACTGAAATGATCTTCCATTAAAGTAGCTCCGCATTTCAGGGTCAGTTCAGCAGATCAAACCTCTGAATTGTCCTCTAGCTAACTATATATATATATATATATATATATGTATATATGTATGTATTACATGTTATATTATATATGTATATATAATATATATGTATATGTAATATATGTATACATAATATATATACATATATATGTGTGTGAATAACTATATATAAATATATAAAGTGATATATATGTATATATATAACATGTATGATAGAGAGTTTTATATATATAGTTTATTAGAAGACAATGCAAAGGTTTCATATGTATGTGTATATATATATATAACTATATATAAATATATATAAAGCTATATGTATATATATATATATATATATATGTATGTTACCTCTTTGCCAAGCACATCAGTTGGTTGCTCAGTCAGTTGGACTTCTGTGAACATGATTTTTAAGAATTGAAATCATGTCTAAAAACCATTGTATTAAGTAGTAGTCTATTATTTTAGGGGCTCTTAGTGATTTTTTGTTCCTGTAGTGAACAACCACTGCTTTTGAACATATGTTCTAAGGGCACTTCCTTGGTTGGCCATTCTATCCCTGTAAACATTTAAGTCCTTTCAAGGGGTTCATTGAAGGCTATTTTACCTTCAAGAACTAACCAAAGAAATAACTTACCTGAAGTTTAACAACCTAGTATGTGACAAATCTAAAGGAGAAACAAGGGACTGGCTAACTGCATGACATTATGTTCTCCCCACCATGCAATATTACCTTTTCAGGTCATTTATTCATGAAAGACATACGTGTTGAGTACCAAGTCCATTGGTGGCTGACGAAGATAACCAAGAATGGAGGGCGAGCTTTACAGGATGACACCCTACTTATGTTGAACAGGGCTTCTAGTGAAAGGGCAGTGATAATTCATTTTAAATATTGGAAGAGGGTCTTAAATAATATGCAGTAAAACTTTTACTGTAATTTTATGGCTCCAAGGATACTATGGCTGAGAATATACTGTACCTGCTGAGAATGCATGGAATTTAGTGCTGTACTACTGATAATTTATTTTTTCTCCTCAATAATCCTGTTCAATGTTATAATAACACTGCCAAGCTACCACTAAAGACATGTATTCTTTTAACTATTCTGAATGTTTTACTCTATCATTTCAGTGAAGAATATTAACTTTTATTTTGCTTTTAGAGCACCATTTGCTTTGGGAGGGGGGGCATAGTTTCATAACATTAGGAGTAAGGAATCACTTCACAGATCATATAAGGACCCAAACCCAACAGAAGATACAGGACAGACTAACTATCTTACATAATGCATAAATGGAAATGGAAAGGTTTTTATTTTAAAATCTCTTTTGATTTAAAAAAATTATTGTTAATTTTTACTGTGTTTGGTCCAAGTTTCATGGAATAAATCTGTGACTAAAGTAGGCTTTCTGTTCTCAGTACCAGTGGGAGTACCTTCCATGTAACTCTGAGGAGCCTCGGGATATCTCTAGCTTTGAGAACCTTATCTGGCTGAGATATCCAGCACACTCACCCTGTGACTCCTTTGCTCCCAGGTTATTCTGTTGCTGCAATTTCGACTGAAAAAAGTGTCCATTTTGTTGCTGGTGCTCCTCGGGCAAATTACACTGGCCACATCGTCCTGTACAGTGTGAATAAGAATGGCAATGTCACGGTTATTCAGTCTTACAGAGGAGGGCAGGTAACTACAACTTAGCACAGCAAGTATAGAGTGGAGTAGGTGGGTGGTTCTTGGAAATTAGCATTCACTTAGTGCCTCATCTATGTTTGCTTCTGTAATGTCCTTTTTCTGTGTAGACTTTAAACCTTCACAACAGTTTTAGATTTACCATTGCCTTTGGACAAGTTATCTCAAGTTTTGCTAAAAATTCTAAGATCACAGAGCTTTAATGGGGTTGAGCTATCCTTAACATTAATTCTATATGGCTCACCACATTCTTGTGTGCTGGCTTCCGTGTACTTTTTTTTTTTTTTTTGGTCTGGTCCTAGATCTTGAACTCAAGATACTATCTTGGGTTGTTATGCTCAAGGCCAGCACTCTACTACCACCTGAGCCACAGCTCTCTACTCCTAGCTTTTTATTGTATAATTGGAGAAATGTCACACAGACTGTCCTGCTCCAGCTGGCTTCAAACCACAATCCTCAAATCTCAGCCTCCCAAGTAGCTAGGATTATAGGCATGAGCTACTTAGCACTCAGTGATGTTCATATTTTGATTTCCCAGATTAGTAATGCATGTTGACCAGCCCATACTATGACCCAAGTATCTGGAGTAAAAATAATGAGAGGAAAGGAGCAGTATAATAACATAAGCAATGAGCTTCCACATCTGGGCCTGTTAAGGTATTCTGTTGGATTTGATATTTGTAAAACTCAGGTAACTCGCCATCTCTGCCACTTCCTACTGCTATGTAGCCATGTGGTAAGCATATCCCAAGACTAAGCTTACTGAGGCAATTTACAAAAGGTCTGTGGCCAGAGCAAAGACCAGCCAGCTGGCTCCTTTTCTTTCTAAGCAGTTTTTAACCTCTGGGCTTAGGACACTTGAGAAATGAGTACCCTTGATCCCTTACAACCAACAAAGTCCTTCCTAAAGTCATAACTAACCACAGAATTCTCTTCTCTGGGATTAAGTCTGATTCTATTGCTCCTATAGATTTTTTTCCTAAGAATAAGACCTTGATTTCTCAGCCATAGACTAACTATTGTCAGATATTTTTTCCTTCCTCTTTAAGTTGTTTTTATTTTGAGAAAATAGTGAACACTTTATGGAGTTATTAATTTCCTATTAATTCCTGAGAGGTGTTTTAAAAAGCATGCATTGAAATACTGAATGGGATGAATATTCACATTCTCAGCCTCAGTTTTATTTCACCTCCATCTGTGTCTCTCAAACCATGTAACAACTCACCTTTTCTGAACCATGCCAAGGAAACTGGCATCGTTGTTTTTCCATATCTTTCCACCTAGAAAACTTGTCTTCCTAGAAGTTGTCTTCATATGTCTTTCTTTGTAAGCATACGTGGAGTCCCTGCATTTTGATCACATAGGATTTGGGGCTGTCTGAATTCTGGTATACTTCATGATGGAAACACAAGTGTTTGTCCTCTTGCCTCTCCTCCTGCCTTTCTCTCTAGTACCTTGTTACACAGATCCTGAGGATTTCTCTTATGTATGTGCTGCTTGGCCCACTAGCACAGAAATACCTGGGATGTTTAATGAAAATGTTATCTCCGTATCACACTACAGAGTCTCTGGAAATGGGACTCAGGGATCTGTATTTTAAAGACACTTCTTTGCTGATTCACATGCACATTAATTTTGAAGAACTAAGAGTTAAATGGTGACACTGATGTTTAATGTTCCTAGCACCTTGCAGGCCTACCATTTCTATGTATTGAATAAATAACACCTTAGTATGTATTATGTATATGATATATATCTGTAGTTATATGATATATCTAGATTTAGACAGATATATAGGTAACATAGAGAGATATGGAGATATATGATATAGATGTAAGTATAGATGATGTATATATATATGAGAGAGAGGGAGAGACAGACAGACAGACAGACAGACAGACAGACAGACAGACAGACAGACAGACAGACAGACAGACAGACAGATAGATAGATAGATAGATAGATAGATAGATAGATAGATAGATAGATAGATAGATAGATAGATAGATAGAGATAGATAGATCTGACTCTAAGAAGTCTAAGACCTGTTTTCTTTACCATGACAGATTGGCTCATATTTTGGTAGTGTGCTGTGCTCAGTTGATGTGGATAGAGACACCATTACTGATGTGCTCTTGGTGGGTGCACCAATGTTCATGAATGACCTCAAGAAAGAGGAAGGAAGGGTCTATCTGTTTACCATCACAAAGGTAAAAAGAAATATTTTATTTTGCTTTTGTACTGATGTGATTCAATCTGCACTTCGAAGGAAAGTTTAATATTCTTGAATAATAGTTTACACACATAGTACAGTTTATGTCATCTGTTTTGACAATGCTGTCATTAAGTTAAAAGCCCAGGCTGACATTAGACAACTCCGAAGGGAAAAGAAGTTGAAGTTAATACAATAAAATTACAATTATATGTTATAGTTTTCTTAGTTACTTAAATTGATTTAAAATTAACTCTCTAACAGGAGCAATTAAAACAATTCTAATTGCCCATATGAAGTATGTATATTTTATGTGCAATAAAGGATAGGCATATGTATTTATTTGAAAGTTTAATAAATTCCTACTCTCCTAAATGTTTCTGGATTATCAAATACTCAAAATTGTCATTAGTCATTCAAGCTAAAAGTATTTCTTAATACTATTCTAATAAATTAATTTTATCACATTATACTAGAGAAGAAAGAATCAACAGTGACTCATTTTCATGGTAGATGAGTTTTACTTTCTTCTAGAGTCATGAAATATTTCCATATCTGATTATAAAACCTGAAGGAAAAATTGTGTACTTTATAAGAAAATAGTGTTTCCTTTGGATAAAATTATTATGTGTTCCTTCTAATAGAATATTAACAATCTAATCTCCCATTTCTTATCTGATTACCATCATACCAGTCTAGTAATTTTATTTTGATTTGGGTCTACTTTAGTTTCATTCAGGGTAATTAGACTTGCACCAGAAAAATATTAAGTCAAAGAAAGATTTGGCAATGGGTAAAGATGGTAACATGGAAGGAAATAGAAAAGAAGGATTGAATATTGCTTTATAAAGTATTACAGTAAAAAGAATTACTTCTTTTCACCATAGCTGAAAGGACAGATATCCTGTGATATTAGTTACTGAAATTCTTTTTCATAATTCCCAGCATGGAGAACTTTTAATTCTAGGTTTAAAACACTTTCCACAGTTAACATTTTGAAAATCGATTTGGACATCATTGCTGCAGATTTCAGTTCTACACATTGTGGAGTGAACTTTAATCATCCCTTTTCCCCTTTGCAAGGGCATTTTGGATAAGTACCAGTTTCTTGAAGGACCCAAGGGCACTGAAAATGCTCGCTTTGGCTCAGCAATTGCAGCTCTTTCAGACATCAACATGGATGGCTTTAATGACGTGATTGTTGGCTCACCTTTAGAAAATCAGAATTCTGGAGCTGTGTACATTTACAATGGTCAACAGGACACTATCCGCACAAAATATTCCCAGGTAATCCATGTGCTACATAATGGCATATTATTATGTATTCGTTAATGCTAAAGATCCATCCTTGTTATTTTATAACCTCATTTATTCACTTAAAAATAATCAGGATGGAAGTGGCACTGTAGCTCAAGTGGTAGAGCACTAGCCTTGAGCTGAAGAATTCAGGGACAGTGGCCAAGCCCAGAGTTCAAGCCCAAGACCGACCAAAAAAAAAATAATAATCAGGAGCCGGGTGCCGGTGGCTCATGTCTGTAATCCTAGCTACTCAGGAGGCTGAGATCTGAGGATCGTGGTTCAAAACCAGCCCTGGCAGGAAAGACTCCGTGAGACTCCTATCTCCAATCAACCACTAGAAAACCGGAAGTGGCACTGTAGCTCAAGTGGTAGAGCGCTAGCCTTGAGCTGAAGAACTGAGGGACAGAGCCCAGGCCCAGAGTTCAAGCCCCAACTGACAAAAAAAAAATTAGGAAAGAAAAAGACTGGAGGCATGGCTCCAGTAGCTGAGCACCAGCAAACAAGTGAAAAGCAAGCACCACCAAAAAAGAAAGAAAAAAGGAAGAAAGAGGGAAGGGAGAGAAGGAAGAAGGGAGGGAGGGAGAGGGAGGGAGAGAAGGAAGGAATTTTGGAAATGATCACATAGTGAATACGAATATGCAGGGGAGAGGCTCTTTTCTTTCTTCTTCAACTCTGCATCTCTTGTTTTCAGAAAATCTTGGGATCTGACAGAGTCTTCAGAAACCGTCTCCAGTTTTTTGGGAGATCTTTGGATGGCTATGGAGATCTAAATGGGGATTCCATTACTGATGTGTCCATTGGTGCTTTTGGACAAGTGGTTCAACTCTGGTGAGTCAATAAGCTCTCAGCACAAATGAGCTAACTAAAAATAACCAACTATGCTGGTATGAAGAAATACTGTACAGGTTATATAAGATGGTAGAAAATTTTATGTATCTTAATTCGCAGAAAGAAATATATTTTTCCTGGGGAAATATATATGTATATATATTATCTATAATAATATATTAATATACTATTATATTTTAATTTGTATAAAGTAAGGAATGTAGTTTTCCAGGGGAAATTTTATATAGTTTTTCTGAGGATATAACATACATACACACTTATACACACACACACACACACGTGATAGTTTTCCTGGGGGAATTATATATTTAAATATCATACATAAAATGCATATATTATTATATATCATATATATAATATATAATGTAATAAATGTATTCTTGCATATATTTTCTTAGCATTTGAATGAAGTTTCTCTTTATATAGTGATGAGAAGCAAAGTATAAAAGATAAAGCCCTTGGTACCTTCTTGTAAAGAGCCTACTTTTACTTATAGCAACAAGGCCTCGTGTGAGTGCTCTAAAAACACCATTCAATGATGCTAGTAAACTGAACTTCTCATATGGTTTGAAAGTATATTTTTAAAAGTATTACTTGTGAACAAGAGCCATTATTTGGGTTTAGCTAACCTCTCACTGACTCCTATAGAAGCAGAAGATTGGGAGAACAAGAAGAAATTCAAAAGCCAGGTGATCCAAGGTCAAAAATAAGCATAGGACCTAGGAAGGAAAAAGAATCCAAAAGAAGTTGATTCAACTGAGAGTTGAAAATAGGCCTTATATGTTCCAATACATAGACAGCAGAGAAACATTCATTGGTGTTTATGACTTCACTTCTAGATTTCATTATACCGTTTACAAATCCCAGTTGTGCCTTAGTGAATAAAATGAACTGTTTTTCTTGCAGAATAAAGCTATTATGTAGAAAAATAAAACCCAATATTTATGACAAAGAGTATTCAAGACAAAATACTTGAGACAAAGAAACAAGAAATGTATTTACTAAATAAAATTAATATAAATCATTTAAGAGTAGAAAAAGAGAATAAATTGTGATATCATTATATGGTTCATTTCTAAATGATGTAATAAGAAACCAAATGTCTCAGCAAGTCTCACAATGTAAAACGTATTGGTAGACTTCATACTTAGTAGGCTATATATTTTTCTATATCATGGTTTTCGGATATACTGCTTTGTAACATAGGCCATGATATGGCTAAGTTTTCCTCTTTTAATTTGGATTTGATTAATTAATCAAAATATCAAGACACATTAGATCAAATCAATGTACTAAGATGATAAATTGAGCTAAACTACTACAGTGTTGTGCTTACATTCTTATAACGTGCTGAGACTGCTTTTTCTGAGTAACTCCCTGATGAAAGTGCTCAATCTCTCAAAAAGATTGCCTAAAGAAAACTTCCCTTAAGCATTTTAGATCTTAACAAACTTGAGGACATATTTCATTTCTTACTAGATTTGTTATGACTGCTTCTTGGCAAGTCTGCTTCATAGGTACCTATGAACTATTGAAATAATTTTTCAGTTGTCTGGAGTCCTTCAGGTAGTACTTGGGATTGGAAGATGTTTCCTATATATTCATGATGCTTTATAAAACAGTTAATTTATGAACTGTTACTTGCTGCTTAATACATACTTGTAGATGCAGCTATGAATCACTGCAATGAAGTGTAAGATCCATGAACAGAGGAATTAGGAGGTTCTAGATCTAATTTCTCCTTGGTAAACCACCAAATGTTGTATGTCTGAGATCTTTTCCCAAGGTAAAAATCACAATTTGAAATGTTTGTTCAACCTATTTCCCATGCATGTTCTAAGGTGTAAACAAGACTGTGTCACATTTCTAAAGGGATGCACCTGAATCAGAAATCTAGAGCACCCTGCCTTTCGTGGACTCCTTGGTCGTTTATGGCAGCAAGCTAGTGGCCACCATCATGGCCATATGCCACATTTCAAAGGGACCCTGCCATTCTGCCATCTTACCCTCCTCTTCCTCACCTTGGTCAACAAAATGCAACAAATATCATCACTTCTTTGAGATGAAGATTCCTATTCTGTGCTTAGGCAGGTGTTCCCTTAATTTTTTTTTAAAAATCACACATTGATTGTGCTGGTGATGTAGTGTGTGTGTGTGTGTGTGTGTGTGTCTCTCTCTCGCTCACACACACACACACACACACACACACACACACACACACGTTGTCCCTACACGCCATCTTAGACCTTTCCAGCAGAAAGTGCTCTGGGAGAGGAGGAAAATATCCAACAATCCAACAGTGGGTCCTCTATATAAAGGTCATTATATGTAATGACATGATAATCATAACATTAGTAATTATGTCCATGTATCTCTTTCCATTTATGTTTTCAGGTCACAAAGTATTGCTGAAGTATCTGTACAAGCTTTATTCCAACCAGACAAAATCCTCTTGCTCAACAAGAACGCTGAGATAATGCTAGAAATCTGCTACAATGCTAAGTTTAGACCTACAAGGCAAAATAATCAAGTGGGTAAGTAGACCTACAATAATTGTAGAGAGATAAAATTGCCTATGGAGTTTCGGCCCTGAGTGGAACCTAAGTTGGGTCTGGGGACTAAAGAAATAAGAATCCCTTACTTGCACATGCTTAAATGACCACATACTTGAGGTGTCTGAGAAGGGTTCTTTGGGCATGGGAAATTTGTTTGGAACTTGCCCCTTCCACTTTAGATGCTGACATTTTCATTCAGGGTATTGCAAGATCTCTGGAATAATGAAGGGCTCTCCTTGAACTCTCTCTTTTGACTTTCTATACCCAGAGAGCTTTATTTCAATCCTTAAGCACACACAAATTTCACTGAGTATTGACTGTTTATTGAATGAATGTGCTATAAATTGACTATGGCAAGACCTACATAAGATGTGATTGGCAAAAGCATGCTACATTGTTCCAGTTCTTCAAGAACTACTGTACTTAAGATAATGGAAAGTAGCATATAAATCATGTCCATTATTATAAAGTTCTGGATTATCCAAAGAAGTGAGTAAAAGAAAGTGGGCAAATGTCAGCAGAAATTGTCATCCTCTGCCTTTTTGGCTGGCTACTTTTTAAGACCTGGCTGAGGTCCATATCCTCTCTGAAGTCTTTTCTAACCACTCTGTCTCATTTTCATCCTCCAAGCTCCATTATTTCCTCCCCTCTGTGGGCAGCATGCAACTCACCACTTGATTACAAGCTACATCTTTTTCCCTTGCTCCTATTTTATGGGTTCTAATCACCTTTTCAATCATATGAGAATCTGCATTTCCTATATATATTTAGGTGGCAAATAGATAAACTAACTTAAGGGTTATAAGAAAGTGTTCAGGTAGATTGTTTTCCAACTTTTACCAACAAAGAAAAATGAGATTCATGTGTGGCACAATTTCCTCTTTTTTCCTACTTTCACATCCATGGAATTTATTTTCATTTAGCCACCAAAAGAATTATAACTCAAGTGGTAGGGTGCTAGTCTTGAGTGAAAAGGCTAAAGGACTGTGCCCAGGCCCTGGGTTCAAGCTCCTGTACAACATTCATGTTCAAACATACACACTCACACACACAGTCTCTCTCTCTCACACACATACACACACCAATAAGGTTTCAACACAGTTCTAAGTAACATGCTTCACAGACTTGCATTAAAGGATACATTCAGCTGAATACCCGTATTAGTTAACTAGAAAACCACTGCTGCCTAAGCATTAACCTGCCTAAAAGATTAAATTGGAAAACTAATTAGTTGGCAGAAATGGCTGGTTGCTCATCTGCCCAATCCCTAAAACATGAATATACTTCATGATGTTCCACACTTTGAATATGTCTCATCTGTTTTTTTGCTTACCCTTGAAAAATTCTCTCAGAGAATTTCCTTCTAGTTAATTGGTTCCTGAGGGTCTGTAAGCTTTGTTAAGTATTGGTGATTTTTCCCTTGCATCCTTTTCCCTGATGCATGCATGTATTGAGGTCCATACCGCCAGGCCATGATGAGTTATGATCATTTGTTGTATCATTGCTTGGTTGTAGCCATGGATGAGATATGAAATCCCATCTTCGCAACTGTGAAAGGTGAATTTATGAAGTATATAGTGTATAGTAATTAATATGTGAATTAATACTGAATAATTAATACTGAACCAAACTCCAGTTTAAAGTCAACATAAAATGTTAATATATTGCTTATGAGACTAGATATGTCTCACTAAACTGCTTGAAAAAAAGCATATATTGTTAATATATACTAATTTGTCCTAACTGAATTTGCCTTACCACCACTATTCTTCCATTATATCATTTTCAACACCTAATTTTAGTTTGTTTATTTGGTACTCTTATGTTTGGTCCACCTATATTGGCCCCATTCAGTCACTAAAGCAAGAAAAAGTAAGCAATATCTCTAACAGATTCCTTAAAATTAACTTATAATATTTGGAAGTCTAGCTAATCTTCATATTGAAAGTAATAAAATCTGATAAAGGCATGATGGCCTAGTTCCTGTTTATAATTCTAGCACTCAGAAGCCTGTGAGAGAAAGATTGAGCATTCAAGGCCAGCAAGACCTTATCTCAAAAGAAGCAAAGAAATACACATACAAAAATTAAGGCAGTTTTCACCATGAAAAAAGTAAATGAAATGAAATAGAATCTGATAGATAAAGCCAAACAGCTGGTACTAAAGATGACAATAGAGAGTGGCTCTCAATTTTAGAAATACAGCCAGTGGCCTTCAATAGGAAACTGTTATCATCATTTTTTGACACTTCCCATTATATCATTTAACTTCCTTGAGTTAATATTATTTATCTCTGTTTAATAATTTTAAAAGGTTGAAGTTCAAAGAGATTGAGTAAATTTCCCAAAGTCACAGAGTTTATAAACTGTGGAATTAGCATTCACACCAAGTCTATCTGACTCTGCCCATACAACTATGTGTTTCATGTATTTCCTCCTCATATAACCATCCAGAAGATGCCAGAGAAGGCATACATTCATTCAATGGATTTTTAGCCAGTCTCCATGGTAGTATACACTCCTTACAACACTAGAAAGAGTAACAATATGAGCTTTGATTTCAAAATATCCACCTCTTATTTCTGACTTGCCCTAAATGTGTGGATGAATAGGAATTCTTTAATCTCATTTATTCTCAACACTGTGCATTTTCCAGGTTTACTATTAAAGTCTGTGTAAGATAATATCCAAGAATTTGTTCAACATTAGGCATTCAATATCTAATAGTACCTGTCTGTGTCTCTGTGAGGGAGAGAGTAATTTACCCAAGTTTATCCAGTAGATTTGCTGGAGCTAGTTCAATTTTCTTACCATTGTTTCAAGCCACATTTCTCCAAATCACATCTGTTGGGTCTACAGTCACTTACAACATCTTATCTTATACATATCATTTCTTGTATCATATCAGTCATATGGAATTGCACTTGTCATGTGATGCTATCCATTCAAAATCCACCAAAATAAAGCTTACCTCTGAAGTCAGACTTTGCTCAGTAAAATACAATAAAGTAAGTTTGCTTTCCCCTTAGAATTTACTTGCAATGACATTCCTTTATTTTGTTTATTGTAGCCATCATGACGAACATCACATTGGATGCAGATGGCCATTCATCCAGAGTGACCTCCAGGGGTGTATTCGAGGAAAATAATGAAAGGGTTTTGCAAAGGAGTATGGTACTGACTCAAGAACGAAGGTGCTCTACCAACAGGATTCAGATACAAGTGAGGCCTCAGCCCATCTCTCTCCTTCCACCCCCTTTCACCTTAAAGACTAATGGATGCTAATTGTCTAAAATAAAAGCTAGTGCTAGAAAATGTTTACCCTTCAAATATGCCTAATTCCACTAATAGGAAACATTTCTTTATGATAATACTTACAGTCACATTCTATTTTTATGTAAGTTAGTAGAATTAAATTTCACTGAAGATCGCAATTATAATAATATAAGCATTCTTTTAAAAAAATGTTTTGCAAGGATTTATTTTAGTGAACAGGATTAAAGTAGGGAGAAACATGAAGTAAAAAACCTACCATTTTCTGATCCCCAAGCAGGAAATGGAAGTTAAGACTCCAAAAGATTCTTAAAGAAATTAAAAATACAGTTCTCTAAAATACCTATGAGGGACCAGGCACAGTAGCTCACACCTGTAAAGAGCTTGGGATGTAGAGTTAGGAAGATCAAGGTTTAAGGACAGCCCGGGGAAAAAATAATCAGCAAGACTTTATCTGAAAAATAACTAAAGCAGAAAAGGGGCTTTGAATTATGGCTCAAATAGTGGAGCCTAACATCAAGAAAAAAATAATTTCAATTATGTTTTACACTATTGATTTAATTTAGGAAAATGATGGTAGATAATGAAGTGAAGATTATTTGTTCTAATCTTACGCTATATTACTATAGTTCTGATCAATTTTGAAAAATCTCTCATAAATGTTTCTCAGGAGAAAATTTTGCCCGAGAAATTTATTTCATAAATTACATGAAATGTTTTCCCTTAGCAAACATAACAGTATTTGAAAGTGCAATTCACACAGGAGCCCACTTGGAAAGAACTAATTGAAGTGCTTTCCTTAATATGGTTTTCAGAGGTTAGGATGCATAAGAAAGATTTTTTTTTTTTTTTGTCGGTCGTGGGGCTTGAACTCTGGGCCTGGGCGCTGTCCCTCAGCTCTTCAGCTCAAGGTGAGTGCTCTACCACTTGAGCTACAGCGCCACTGCATAAGAAAGATTTATAAAATCTAGAACACTGGGTCCTCCTGTTCAGAAGTTCAGATTTGGAGAGTCAAGGAATACAAAGATTTCAGAGGCACCCATAGATTCTTATGTAGATGGATGGGAGAGAAATAACACTTCAAAAGATGCTAAGTGTTGCAAAATTACTTACTGGATGTTTAGGTGAATTAAAGTCAGTTAAGTTAATTTGTTTCATCTTTAATTTAAAAGCTTCTTGTCCATGAAAGGCCTGGATTTTCGATTGTTCAAATCTCAACTACACAGATTCTTTGCAGGACACAAAAACAAAAACACACGTAAACACATTGGCTTGTATTCTTTCCTGTCCTGTGCCAAAAAGTAGATCCAATTCTGCATGTAATCCATTGTGGAGGAATGAAGACAACTAGGCCATTTTCTCCTTAGGTATCAACAGTCCTGTGTACCATTTGACATCCATAGCAATGAGGTCCACACTTGTGCCACACTCTCTGCCCAGCTGAGGATGCCTGGTCTCACAGGCAAGATGTTATCCTCTTAGGCCAAAAGAGCGAACACCTTGGAGGAAGCTTGCTGGCCAAAGCTCCATGACAGTGAGACAAATTTGAGTAATAGACACCAATCTCTCCTGACAAGAACCAGGAAGAGTGGAAGGTGATTTCTGTAACCCCTCTATTGACATTTTTAATGTTATCTCATTAAACAGGAAGCCTCAAAAAAGGGGAAGAGGCCTCTGATTCCCAAAATAAAGAGAAACTTCATGTCCCTTTCCTAGCAGCTAGTCACAGGCACCTTCTCTTCTGAGACGTACGAAGCTCTTAGAGAGTTTAGGTCAGGACACCTAAGGAATCTTAAATCTTGGCAATAAGAATTAGGGTATAGCCAATGACCAAGGAGCTAGAAATGGTCATAGGAATCTTTTGGAGGGTTAAAACTGGACATCATCTCAATATTGTAATTACTGGTGTATAAGTAATGAGGTTATAGTTGAGACTCACTAAGAATTGCTGCTTTAGATTTCAATTGAAATCAGTCTCCGGAGGCTTCGTCTAGAGACTAACAACAGAATTGGGACAGAAGAAAGGTGCATTCCAATCAAGGATAGTCTACGTAATTGAGCACGGTCTGTGTTCTTCAGCGTAAGCATATCGGGTCAGTTTCTTCTCATCAAGTGGCTGTGCTCTAATGAATGGACTCTCTGTGTTTGCATGTGTATATTTAGAAGCCCACTGATGTCGTCAATGCTTTTCCTGTGCGTGTGGACATCGGTTTGGAAAAGCCTGGCACCAGCCCTGCCCTTGAAGCCTATTCTGAGACTGTCAAGGTTTTCAGTGTAAGTGTGGCTGCCGTGGAAACTGGCTAGCAGTGTTCCCTATCACTAAGTGGTGTTCAAAATATAGGATAGCCGGGCGCTGGTGGCTCACACCTGTAATCCTAGTTACTCAGGAGGCTATAGGGGACCAAGGTTCAAAGCCAGCCTTAGCAGGAAAGCCCACAAGATTCTATTTCCAATTCACTACCAAAAATAAGCCAGACGTTCAAGTGGTAAAGCACTCGCCATGAGCACAAAAGCTCCGGGACAGTGCCTAGGTCCTGAGTTAAAACCACTAGCAAGAGATTTAAAAAAAAGAATTTAGGATAGTACAGTGCTGGTGGTTACTCAGGAGGATGAGATCTGAGGATTGTAGTTTAAAGCCATCTGGGGCAGAAAAGACTGTGAGACTATTATCACCAATTAACCAGCAAAAAGCTGCAGGCGATGGTGTGACTCAAGCAGGAGAGCACCAAAGTTAAGTGAAAAAGCCAAATGAGATCTCAGAGCTCTGAGTTTAAGCCTCAGTGTTGGTAATAAATATATGTATACACACATACACACACACACACACACATTTAGGACAGAACTAAGTGATGCTATGTATAAAGTTCACTAGAATGTCAGTTCCATGAAAAAACAAATAATGGTTTTTGTTTTTCTTTTTCCCTGCTATTTCTGGTTTCCAAAGAAGAGGCTAGTACACCATACATGATCAGTAAATATTTACTAATTTTTGAAAACTTAGGCAATTTGCATTGACCATTAAATCATGATTTAAAAGCTATGACCAATGCATCTGAAGTTCCATGAATCACCCCCACTTATAGCTACTTTAATCTAGATTCCCCCTATAAAAAAAAACCATTATCTTGAATTTTATATTTACTAACATCTTTCTCTTTGACTTTGCTGAACACGAGTGTATTTGTTAAACATGGCTTGGTTTTTCATGGCTTTGAACATTATGGAACTGGAATAATACTGTGTGTATTTCTTTGCACTTTGTATTTCTTAACTCTTTAATCTCTCCTGCCTTTTCATAGATCCCTTTTCATAAGGACTGTGCTGGTGACAAAGTTTGCATCTCTGATCTGGTCCTGGATGTCCAACAGCTACCAGATGCTCAGTATGTTCTATTTAGAAACTCGGTGTAAAGTGTAGAAATAAAGGACACACTAGGTGTCTTCATTCAAACACATTTTTGGAGATTTTTTTTCTCTTTTTGCTTATGTGGTACTGAGGAATCGAACCCAGGGCCTCAGGCATGCAAGGCAAGCGCTCTACCACTGAGCCACCTTCCCAGCCCTTGGAGATTTTTTTTCTCTATAAAAGCAATACTCAGTTGAGCACACTGGCCCAGCCTGTAATCCTAGCTCAGGAGGCAGAGATTGAGAGGGTCACAATTCAAGGCCAACTTAGGCAAAACAATCTCAAGACCTATCTCAAATAATAGCTGGATATAGTTGTATATGTCTGCCATCCCAGCTATATGGAAAGTATTAATAGGATGATTATAGTCTAAGCTAGCCCATGTATAAACATAAGACACTATCTCCAAATAACTAAAGCAAAAAAGGAAAGGGACATCGCTCAAGTGGTAGAGTACCTGCCTACCATGTCTGAAGTACTGAGTACAAACTCTAGTACCACATATAGAAGCAAAAGAGAAACAGCAAAGAAAAGGAAAGAGTCATAATAATAAAGACCTTTAAAAACTAAATTTTAGTTTCTATAATTCACAAAAGAACAAAGTAGTAAAGAATATAAAATTGTTATTTGGATAACATCCAAGAGCATCTTCTTACTTATCAGTGTCAGCTGCACGCAAAGTAAGTTTTCCATTATTAAGCTATGGTCTTAGTGTTTCAACTAGAGCTTGTTTCTTAAATAAATGAAGTTTTTGAATTCTGGTTTTTGTTGTTGCTGTTTTGCTTGAATGATGTTTTTCTTTTTCTTTGCTTCAACAGAAACCAACCCTTTATCGTCAGCAATCAAAACAAAAGGTTAACATTTTCAGTAAAACTGAAAAACAAAAAAGAAAATGCTTACAACACTAAAATTGTTGCTGAATTTTCAGAAAACCTATTTTTCGCTTCATTCTCCATGCCGGTATGTGAGGACGGCCTTCCTGCTTGCTCTCCATTACTATCTGCTTTCTCCTGGAACCTTACTGGCTTCCACTTGGTCTGCAGAAACATCCCAGGCCAAATCAATCAATCCCACCCTGGGCTTCCTGCTAGTGAAACCTCCTGAAAACATGGCCCAGTTCCATATGGTGACCATTCTGCTCGACAGCTCAGCTCACTCTTTCCTTTGCCCCTGACTTGGCAACTACACAGTCACATTCTCTGAGAGCTGAGGCTTCCGTGGTGCCACACAGATGTACCGCACAGATGTGCTACACTTGTTCACAGATGTTGTGGTTGCTGTCCAGATGCAACATTCCAGCAAAGCTGACCTGATCACTAAACCAGAAACACACTGGGCTCTCCTCCTGCTCCTTCCTCTGTACCCACAAGCCATGCAGACATTTAAAAAAAGGACCAAAGGAAAATCTATTTCTTAAGTGAGCTACTTGATGAAAACATTAAAAGATGGTTTTATCCCATTTAAAGTTAATGTAAATTTGATAGATTCAGAGATCTCAAACTATCCTGTCTTCAGTGTTTAAAGGTAATTTCTCAAAGAGTAACTTCTTACTTTTAAGAATGAAACACCTATAGCAAACTTTTTTTAAGATCATATTAAGGTATTTAAAATGTGAATGTTGCCATATATTTTGTTCTTCTCTGAAATTTTACATTGCAAAAATATTAAGAAAAAGTTATATGCTAAAGAATACCAAATAGTGTATCAATCTGTTGGTGGTTTCAGACAATAAAACGATTCATTATTTTCCTAGGGGGAGGACAATTTTTCAATCTATTCCTTGGTTTACTGTGGACAGTCTTTAGAGTTAAAAATAGTATTAAAAAATAATGCACTTAGCCAAGTGCCAGTGGTCCATGCCTGTAATATAGCTATTCAGGAGTCTGTGAGCTGAGGATTGTGGTTTGAAGCCAGCCCAGATATGAAAGACTGTGAGATTATTATCTCCAATTAACTACCAAAAAAGAAGCCAGAAGTGGAGCTGTGCTTCAAGTGGTAGAACATTATCCTAGAGCACAAAAGCTCAGGGATAGCACGCCCTGAATTCAAGCCCCAGGACCAACACAAAATAAAATAATAATTCACTTAGCTTAAGATTTTCAAGTCTGTGGACAATAAACCACTTTGATGTGAACCAACTGCGAACCTGCACACACACACACACACACACACACACACACACACACACACACACACACACAATTAATCATTGTTATTTCTTTGGTCCGGTTCAGGTTGATGGAACAGAAGTTACCTGTGAGGTTGATTCCCGTCCAAAATCTGTGACCTGTGATGTGGGGTACCCGGCTTTAAAGAACAAACAACAGGTACAGCTTATATATTTATTCAGTTCCCCAAACCATATTGGCTAGCACTCTTTAATTTACCAATACAAGTAGTCTTAAGGAAGTATCATGTAATAGATATCACAAAACAACCAGCAGCATACTTAGAAGTTTTTAACTGAATTGTTTCCTTGAAATGATGAATCAAAGTAGAGTTTCTTCTATGCACTTTTCCCCCAAAGCAGATACAATATGGAAAATTCTTTTTGTTTGAGTATGTTGACCAACATTAGACAAAGTGCAGCCTTCAGAATCAAGATCTCCTGTGAACCTTGTGAGGGAGTTTCAGATCAGCAGGAGGCTTAGCAATTCTGACAAGGGTGTGTCGTACAATCACTTCTAGTGTCATTGAAATTCAAGCTCTCCTAGTCCTCAAAGGAGCACATCACAGCAAAGCAGACAAAAAAGACAGTCTACAGATTTAAAAAATACAACATGTAAACCATGTGCTAGTGGCTCATGCCTGTAATCCCAGCTACACAGTAGTCTGAGATTTGAGGATCATGGCTCAAAACCAGCCAGGGAAGGAAAGTTTGTAAGACATTAACCTCCAATTAGCCAGCAAAAGGCCAGAAGTGGAGGTGTGATGACTCAAATGATAGAGCACCAGCCTTGAGTGAAAAATCCAAGAAACAATTAGTAGGCCCTGAGACAAATGCTAATATTCACACATACACACACACACACACACACACACACACACTCACATTCACACACATACACACACTCACATTCACACACATACACACATTCACCCTCACACATTCACACACATACACACACTCACATTCACACTCACATTCACACACATACACACATTCACACTCACACACACATTCACACACACTCACATTAACACACACATTCACACACACTCACATTAACACACACATTCACACACACTCACATTCACACACATACACACACTTACATTCACACAATACACACTCACTCACATTCACACACACTCACATTCATGCACATACGCACATTCACATACACATTCACGTACACATACTCAGATTCACACACATACACACACACTCACTCACATTCACACACATACACACACACACCCCTTAGATACAGAAAATGCAGAAAGGGTAACATTGATCAAGATGCATTGTACTTATAAACATATTTTCAATTCAAATCCTTTGTAAATGCTTTAAAAATAGAGTAAAAAAGAGAAAATGGAGGATCAAACTGGAGTGAGTTTATATAGCAAACTTTCTTTACTGGCTATAAGGCATCACAAACTAATGAATTTTACTTTCATGTATAGGTGACTTTTAATTTCAACTTTGATTTTGATCTCCAAAATGTCCAGAATCAGTCATCCATCTCTTTCCAAGCCTTCAGGTAAAACATAATGATGCCATGAATTGATGGTGACATTCTTTCACAATGCTTCCCTTTAAGTAATTTCTTAATATGTGTTTCCATAGTGAGAGTAAGGAATCTAATCCAGCAGATAATACAGTCGACCTTAAAATTCCTCTCCTGTACGATGCAGAAATTCACTTAACCAGGTAGGTAAAACCTCTTACACATGGGTAGCCTATGACCGTTGATAACACTCTGATTTACAACACAGTTTTCTCATGGTTAAGTTCTCTGTATGCTTAGTCCTCACTGAATAATTTATCTTCCTCTTGGCAGCTGAAAGAGAAGTCCACAAACAAATTGGTGTCTAAATGGCTGTCCAGGTTTTACGGCTGAAAGCATCATTAGAAAGTCAGGGAGAAGAACTTTAGTCTTCTGCCTTGGTGAAGGCCCCATGCAGACTCTCAGAGGAGGTGCAGACCTTCCTGGGATGTTGAAGCAGATGCTTAGGGCCCTGAGAGTTAACCAGAATTTCCTTCTCATGTCCTACTATCTACTATGCACAGGAGATATCAAGCAGTGTCCCCTTCCTAGACATGGGAACCCCAGCACCAAGCTTCTACATAGTAGATCCACCCCATATATTGACAGGAGTCACAGGTTGAAGAGTCAGATTGGAAAACTAGTCTCTTTGATTTTGTTCTTGTTGTCTTTGTTTGGTCATACTGAGATTTGAACTTAAAGCCTCATGCCTGTTTGGGGCATATTTTATACCTGAGTTGTACTTTCCTGTCCTTTTTCACAGTGGTTCTTTTGATTTTCTTGAGCCTATGCCTGGACTCTGATCCTCTATTTTATGTTTTTCATAGTAGTTGCATAGACTGACATGTTCTACGAGGCCCAACTTCTTCCACTGAGATGGAATCTCATGAATGTTTTTCCTGGGCTGGCCTGGAACTACAGTCCTCCTGATGTGAGCCTGTTGCACATCTGGATGACAGAGTCATACCACTGTACCCACCTAGGGATAAAGAAGGAGTCTCGTGAACTTCTTTTTGCCTAGACTATTCTTGAACTTCTCCTAACCCCAGCCCCCCCCAGATGGGATCTTAAGCATGAACTATCATGCTGGGAAAGTCTAGCTTCTAAATGGAAAATTCTCAACAGACCTGATTAGGGTTTTCTTCCAAGCAGGAGGAAATGAGGGATTTTCCAAAAGAACCCATCCATGAAGTAATACTTTGTTCCTATTCTTTCCTCCCCAAAGCAAGGGAACCCAAGAGGAGTGGTTGAAATGTTACTGGCAAATACCATCTGTCTTAAATTGTTCCAAGAAACAGGTGGTAAGAGATTGATATCACCATAAGTCATAGTCAGAAGCAAGGTTGATTCATGGCATAGACACAGCAATGCAAGTGGACAGCCCATGGGGACTGCCAACTCCCATACCTGGCAACAGAATTCTCTTTCTTCCTGGTGAAGCATCAAAGCAGCTTTTCTATACAGACCAATTATCTAAAAAACAAAACAAAACAACAAAAATCACACATCAGTGTTTTCCCAAGAAATCCAATGAGATGGGCTGCTCTAATTCCTACCTTACTGTCTTAACTACTAAAAGCATGGAAAATGCAGATCACCCAATAACTCACTAAGCAAAAACAAAAAGGAAAATATATCACCCTGTCTGGAGCTGAGACAGATGAGCAAAGATGAAAGGAATGTTTTTGTATCAAGTGAGTTACAAAGGCACAAGTAGAAGCAAAATGCAGCTCCAGTCATCCATCCCTGAAAAATTAATCAGTAACTACACATTTTAGAGAATTTCTGGTTGCTAAAATAAGTCATTGAAAACAAATGCAACCACAGGGATGGGTATTGCCACATTATCTGAACTTTTCCCGTCTTACTGTGATTCTCTCTTTTCCTAAACACTTCTAGTTAATACAGCCTTTTGTCTTTCCACACTCTTACCATGGCCAAATGTTTTCTTGTATACTTTAGCATAAAAGAAAGATAAGAGAAAATAGGCCTTCACTTTTACTAAAGGACGTCTTAGCTTTTCATTATGGGGATGATAATTTGGATTCTAATACATTCCAATGTTCTTTAAAATATATAACTAAAAGTGTAGTTATATTATTGAGAACAAAAGCTACAATGACTCCTAAGCTTGTACCAGGCAATTCTCCAGAAATTCTAAAAGAAAAGCATCAGATGTTCATCAATAGAATATCCAAACATTACAGAAATACGATGAGAAGGGAGGTCAGCCATTGCGCTTCTCTGGTGATAAGCCCCACACGTGAATTATTTTGAGATGTTAACAATTTACTGAGAAATTTTTATTCAGGATATATGCATGTAACATACATAGACATATACAGATGTGTACAAACATAAGTTTTCATATCAGGGCACACATTATCTAATTTATTCTATTTCTGGATGGTTCATAATTTATATAACTACTCCTATATTAATGAAATATTGGGTTGTTTTGCATTTTTATTTTGTTTATTAAGCCATCACAAGCAATACTGCAAAAAAATACCTTTTAGTAACTATCATGGCAAACTTCGAGAAAAAAATTTGTGTATTCCCTAGCAACCAATTATTGAATATCTCATTCAGCAACCAATTTGCTACTATATACATTTGAAGTTACATTGTACAAATATGATGAGTAAAATGGAAAAATTGGTAAAATTCTTTTTTTTCTTTTTTTCTTTTTGGTAACTAAATTCCTTGAGGATAGCTTACTGCTACTATAACCATATTGTTTAAAACTCAAGTAATCTAGAGAAAATTTAAATAGCAAATGGAAAAGTGTCCGATCCTTTTAAAATGCAAAAAGTCAGAGCACATTAATCAGTTTAGAAATTGGCCCTGATAGGGACTCGCATGGACATGTCTGGAAAGCAAAGAGATGAATTCATGCGTACATAGCCAGGCTTTCTGTTTCAAGTCCTAGTTCAGGCTTCCCATTTTCCATGAAAGGCTGACGAATCATTATTTCCTTCCACACATATGAGCTTGACACACTCCATGTGTGTTTAAATAGCTCTATAACATAGTTTCCTTTTCAGCTTTGGAACAACTTAGAGCAGGGGGAAGGAAGGTTCCTTGTAGAAACAAACATATTCTACAGCAGAAAGTGTCCAGTGCAATTATATTAGGAAATAGAATCAACCGTCTATAAATAAGGTAAATTGTCATTGGGAATGTATAGAGAGAGTGTGCAGTGCACATTTCTTGCCACCTGTTCTCCCACATCTCTCAACCCAAATAAGCTGCTGAGTTACTCTGGCCTCAAAGCCACAGCAATAAGTGAGAATGTGGCAGATGCGCCCTCAACCTGAGAGGTGCCTGCAGGACCCTCCAGCATTGGCCTTACATTACTTGTAGACATTTGTTGGCATTCCAAGCAAAGCAGGTGAAGATCAATGCCTTGAGATCTTACCCAATCAAAACTCTGGCCCACTTTTCTATTAGTGTCCCACTAATGGTGGAAGCAGATTTGATCAATTCTCAATCCATCCTGAAACCACTGAAGTTGGTTTGAAACTGGAGCTTGGTAGGATGAAGGAATACATACATACACACACACACACACACACACACACACACACACACACACACACACACACACACATCTGGGTGTCAGTGGCTCATGACCATAATCTTAGCTACTCTGAAGGCTGAGATCTGAGTTTTGAAGTTTGAAGTCAGCCTGAGCAGGAAAGTCCATGAAACTCTTTTTTTAATAAATATTTTTTATTGTAAAGATACTGTACAGAGGGATTACAATTACATGAGCAAGGTAACGAGTCCATTTCCTATCAAGCATTGTTACCCTCTCCTTTGTTTTTCCCCTCCCATCCCGCCGCAAAGTTGTAAACTTTATTTTCAACATAGTGGTTTGTACCTCTCATTATTACAATGGGCCATCCTGTATCCTTATTTCAGCATTTTGTTATTTCCCTTCCCCTCCCCAAATTAGAAAAGTATATATACAAGATGCAAGACACTGAAATCAAATACAGTGACAACAGGCATTATACCATGGGGGAAAAATATACAAAGAAACAAAATAAATCACATAGTACATTATAAATACATTTAAAAAAACAACAAGAAAGATAAAATCTCTTGTGTCCCTATCTTGGGGTTCATTTCGCTTAGCATCATCTTATATGGTCATATGTACATAGCTTTTGATCTCTTCTGCTTGTCCTAGACATATACTAGTTATTTCAGATAAGAGAAACCATAGGACTTATGTTTCTTTAGGTCTGGCTTATTTCACTTAATTTTTTCCAAGACTTTCCATTTCTTAACAAATGGGGCAGTGTCATTCTTTCTGATAGAAGTCCATGAGACTCTTATCTCCAATTAATCACTGAAAGTCCAGAAATGGAGCTGTAGCTCAACTGGTAGAACACCAGCCTTAAGAAATAAAAGAAAAACCTCAGAGACTGTGCCCAAACCCTGAGTTCAAGTCCAGGACTGGTACAAAAGAAAAAAAGAAAAGTTTCCAGGAATGACAGCACACACCTGTAATCCTAGGAGGCAAAGATGGAGAGGATCACAGTTCAAGGCCAACCCAAGGGCAAAAAATTAAGAAGACTCATTGTCACTTAACCAGGACATAGTAGAATATGCCTGTGATCTGAGCTACTTGGGAAATCATAGATTAGAGGATTTGGGTCTGAGGCTGACACCAGGCAAAAACATAAGACTTTACCTGATAAAATGGCTAAAGCAAAAGCAGGCTGGGTATGTGGCTCAAGTGACAGAAAGCTGAAAGTCTTCCTAGAAAGCACAGGCAGTTTAAACTCCAGTACTGAAACAGAAAGCAGGGAGAGGAGGGAAGGAGAAAGAGATAGAGCTGGGGAAAGAAGGAAGGAAGGAAGGAAGGAAGGAAGGAAGGAAGGAAGGAAGGAAGGAAGGAAGGGAGGGAGGGAGGGAATATAGAATCAAAGAAAGAAAGATGAAGGAAGAGAAGGGAAGGGAACAAAAAAGGGAAGGGGAGGAGGGTGTGGGAGAAGAAGAAAGGTGAGAAATGTGTATCTTGTTTCATTGGCATTGAGTAAAGCATAATGCAGGAGCAGTTCACCAGTGTCCCATCATTGTAGTCTAGCCTACTGAGTAAGAAGCCCTTACTTCAACTCTGTTCATATAATCAACATAAAATAAGTGTCCATGATACTAATCTATCAGTTGGTATTAATTTTAAAACAAGTTCTATTTTGTTTTATTTTGTTTCTGTTGGTCGAGGTGCCTGAACTCTGGGCCTGGGATCTGTCCCTCAGCTCTGCAGCTCAAGGCTAGTGCTCTACCACTACAGCCACAGAGCTACTTCAAGCATTTTCTGCTTATGTGGTGCTGAGGAATCGAACCCAGGATCTCATGCAGGCGAGGCAAGCACTCTACCACTGAGCTGCTTTTCCAGCCCCAACCATCATTTTTAAAGTAGCACTTTTATGCTTATTTTAGAACTTGCTGACTGATAAACACATAACACATAGACTTTTGACAGAAAGCCCATGAAAGGATATGTTTTAAAATGATATTTTAGTCTTAGAGGCATAGGCCATAATAAGAAATCATCTTAATTGAATACTTTAAGATTCTTATAATAAAAACTCACACACTGATAGATTTATGGGGTACAAGGTGATCATTCAATGCATCAAGACAATGCAACGGTGGAATCAATGGTGTTTCTATCTTCACCTTCCCGGACATAGTCAAACACAAAAGGACAGATACTAAATGTTCTTTCTCTTCTGTGAAATCTTAAAGTTTGATGTGAATGCAGAATAGTTATTTGATGCTTTTGTAACTAAAGCTAAAATGCTTTACTTATAATCTAAGGTAGAAGATACTTAAAAAATAGAATATCATCTAAACTAAAAACTTTGGTTTTCCATGTGTCGTTCAACAGATCCACCAACATCAATTTTCACGAGGTCTCTTCAGAGGAGAATGTTCCTTTAGTCGTGAACAATTTTGAAGATATTGGTCCAAAATTTGTCTTTTCCCTTAAGGTTGGTGAGCTTGTGATCAGGGCAAGTCAAGAGGAAAGGGAATGAAAAAAAAATTACCCTGGGAAGAGACAACAGAAATAAGATGATGTTGAATACACCAATGTTTGTACATTTAAGCGTGCATTAATTAGCATCTGGCAGGCTTGCTATCACACAGAGGGCTGGGCTCCATCCTGAGTTCCTGATTCAGTGGGTCTGGGGTCAGCCTAAACATGTGCATTTCTATCAGATCCTTGGGTAAGGATATTGATGCTAATACCTAGGGCCAGGTACCATACTCTGAGAAGCCCTGGGATAGACAGTAGATAAGTAAACAACGGGAATTTATGCTTAGTGATGTGCCCTGGGGAAGTTACCAATGAAACATTTTCAAGGCATCAATATTAACCAACAAGGAATTATGACACTGATAATTCTGTGGATAAATTTTATTGGGATAAAATCCTAATACAAATTGGTTCTTGGAGACCAATACAGTTTGAACATTCATTATAAAATGAGCATCAGAAAATATTTTGAGTCAAATTAATTAAAATATGACTGGATAATTGTAAGTAAGCAATTATTAATCTAAACATGATAAGCAGTTGTGTAGAGAGAAATTTTGTTGTAAAGAAGCAACTGTTTTAAAATATAATAATATGAAGGAACTTGGAAAAGTCAAAAATTAATAAATTAATTTACGCACCAGCCTGGGTAACTCAATACATTCAATTTTTGTACATTACATAGATTCTACCCCTTACTTTTATTGTTTAAAAAATTATAAAATAATCTTGATTTATTATCCACAAAACTTTAATTTATAAAATATGATAGCCATATTTCTTTACTAGGACAATTTGAAGTAAAATAAATAACATCCTAACATCTGCAGAGGGTAATAAAACTAGCCATTGTATCAGATGGTATACACATATGGATAATTCCATTTAATTCCCAGACAAGTTAGTACTCATATTATTTCTAGGAATGTTAAAGACTTTTAACAACCCGTAGTCCATCAACATTGGCCAATTAGAACCCAAACTCACCACTGATAGCACATGGAATACCAGCACAAATCTACCAGATTTGTGATTATCTTTATTTAACAAGATGAGCATTGAAGCAAGGTCAAGGTTAAGGTCATCCAGCCAATGCTAGTCAATTGCTATTGTAACCACTTTATACTGGCCCCTCATCAGCACCAGGGTAGTTGCTGGTTTCCTTGTGCTGTATGAGCAGGTGTGATCGTAGGATGCTTTCTTCTCCATGTAGGTCACAACAGGAACTGTTCCGGTGAGCATGGCGTCTGTAGTCATCCATCTCCCTCAGTACACCAAAGAAAAGAACCCACTCATGTACCTGACTGGGGTGGACACAGACAAAGTAAGGATCACACAATTGCCCATCAGTGTGCATACTTTCAAGATGGAAATAACCGAGGAGTTCAGAACAATTGTGTCTGATATTTTATAGTTAATGTAGTTGAGGAGGAGAAGGTAACACCTGTGTGTTACAGGTCCCAATTAACTAGTATCTAATTTCACATGAGAGGTAGAATACCCTTATAAGGAAACAAATATCTGATTCTAGATATTTATATTTGGCAGAAATAATTTCAACATCCCTGTCTCATTAGGTGAGGATCTGACGTTGTCAAGGCCCTGTTGGAGAAGAAGTGCAAGCTGTGAGAGGCTGAATATACTCTGGGCACACAGAGGCCTACACAGCTTCAGTTAGTAGCTGGTCTTCAGGCTATCAGCCTGGACTTCCACCAGCTTAAACTCAACTCTGGTTATTCCTTTTAATCACCCCAGGAGCTTTTGAAACAATTGTTATGTTCAGGCAATGAAGTCACTGGTGTTTATCCTGAATGCACATCAGACGATTTTGCCATGCAGTCTGGACCAAGAGGTTCCTCTCTAGTAAAGCAGGTTGACATTGGCTCACTTTTAATGCAGCACTTATCTGATCCAAGCGATTCCTGTATTGTGCAAATAACTACAGGAAATCAAATTCCTAAAATGTTCTACAGCCAATAACCTGAACTAAATCACTCCCAGGGTGTTTTTGTTACAAATTTGTTTTTGTTTCATCACTGATGGGATGTGTCACAGTCCATTCTGCATTACTATAACAAAACACCTAAACTGGGTAAAGTTACAAAAAGAAAAGAAAAGAAAAAACCGTGAGGTTTACATAATATTTTGGAGATTCAAGAGCATGATGCCAGCATCATCAGGATTTCAGCTCAGACGGGTATCGTGGTGATGGTAGGAGTCTAAGTAAGTGGGGGGAGGGCACATTTTCAAACTGTGAAGTAGAGAGAGGAACTTAAGTAATTAACCTTTAGATTTTCCACTAGGTCCTAACCCTTACAGACCCCAATCCCTGCTCAGCACTGCCACCCTGCAGACCAGTCCTCCAATACTAATTCGTGAACCTATAGGGACAAACTATGGCTAATCCACACCAGGCAAAAGCAGGTGAAGTTCATCAGTTCATCACAGCCGTTTACTCTAGGCAAAGCACAAGTCTGGGCCAGTAAGCACAGTCGAAAGACTAACCTCCTGGGGCAACAGTGAGATTTCCAGACATGCCAAGAAGATCTGGGTAAACCATTTTGCTTCCCAAATCTGACATTGCTCTTCTCTGTTGTAGACTGGTGATATCACTTGTAAAGCAGAAATAAACCCACTGAAAATAGGACAGACCTCCTCTTCTGTGTCTTTCAAGAGTGAAAACTTCTGGCACATGAAAGAATTGGTGAGAACGGTTAATAAGTGAGACTCCCTTTGAGCAATCCCTGTGTTTCACCTGAAATTCAGAACTTCTTTCCTCCAACCAGCGTTCTCATCCTGTCACACAGCATTCTCATATTTAAGATGAACTCTAGCAGTTAGGATTTAGAAAATACATTCTCAAATTTATGTTTTTGGAATGATTACTTATTCTATGACTAACAGAATACATGTCCACCATTCATGGTGTCAGAAGGACACATGACACTATTGTGTTTCTACAATGTGTTCTTTAGAAACATTTGCTTAGGGTCGTGAGGAATCTGGGAGTATGCTTTAGAGATGAAACCCCTTAAGTTCCCTAACTTATAACTACTGATGTCCTTCACCTAGCTGCTAAATACGCTATCCAATTCTGGGTCCTAGTATCGTTATCTCCTGCTGCTGAGCTATGCCTTCTTCTTTGGCAAAGTGTGGTGTTTGGCCCATATTAGTTAGGCATTAATTACTTAATACAAATCCCAAACCAACCACAGATCTCCCCTATATTAAAATATCTTTGTTTTCTTTTGCTGCAGTTATTTTGTTTTGTGAAGGATAGGGGGAATGGAAAAACAGGAGAACAAAATTGTGGTTTTTTCTATGTGCATCAGTTTGTGTATATGTGTGTATGTATGTGTGTGTGTGTGTGTATGTGTGTGTGTGTGTGTGTAGGCTGCTACATAAATGGGCCATGTTGACTTTTAGACCACGTATCATAAATTGTAAGCAGTTCAGAGCAAAATTGTGTGGAATTTATAGGAATTTACCATGTATTTCCTATCCCATCAGGCCTACGGCCTGTATTATCCAAATCCTGGAACTGTGTGATACATTTGCTACAACTGATGAACCTACAGTGATATCTCATCATCATCATTATCATTACACCAAAACTCTGTAGTTAACATTAAGGTTCACTGTTGGCATTGTAAAAATCCACACCTGTGATTTTTGACAATGTATAATAACCCATATCCATAATTTTAGCTTCATGTGGAATAATTTCAGGGCCTTGAAGTTGATCAGTGCTTCTCCCTGTCTCTTAACAAGCATGATTCTGTCAATTTTTGTTGACCTAAAAATGTTATCTTTAAGCTGAGCACTGGTGGCTCACATCTGTGATCCTAGCTACTCAGGAGGCTGAGATCTGAGGATTGTAGTTTGAAGCCAGCCCAGGCAGAAAAGTTCCTGTGAGATTCTTTTTTTTTTAATTTTATTTTATTTGTGAACATACTGTACAGAGGGGTTACAATTACATGGACAGGATAATGCGTACATTTCTTACCAAGCATTGCAGCCTCCTCCTTTGTTTACCCTTCACATCCCTTCCCAGCCTCC